AACCCCACGCTTCACTATAGGGATGATATCGGCTTATAATAACTTTTGCCTGGACACTATCATACAGGCTGGAATGCTGGATTGCTGCAAAAAAGGAGGTATTTCTGGAAGGTTCCCCTTTCCAAAGAAGAGCACTGATCGACCATGGGCTTTTTGGTTATACCCCTGATTAAGTTTCTTCTTCCCAATAACTTGGTTCAGATGATTGACCAATTCTAAAAAGAGCAATCGGCAAGAGCCCAGGCTCCGGCTGGTAATCTGTGATAGCGGGCATTTGCCCGATGGACTGGGCCTAATTTTAGCTTGTGAGGGCCGGCCGTCCTTAAACCATACCGGCCCCAACACTCACTCTCCGGCCGAAGCACCTACCTGTGACAGTAAATAACTCAAGGAGCTCAAGAAGTAATACAATGTTAACTACTTAAATGATGCATGCAGTATATATATCCCTTCCTTGTCATGCACATCCTTGTGATGGTTGACATATGGTGTAAATTTCTATTTCTTCAATTTGTAAAATCCGTGAAACAAATTAAATTCTAATAAAACTAAAACGCTTTAAGCCAAACTACAATGTTCCTCATATATTTGGCAAATTTATGTTCAAATATTCAGCAAAAATGTGTTGCAGTGCATGATGGGGTTTTGCATCTGTTTACATTATTCCATTTCATTGCCCACATGCCACCTAGACTCACAGTGAATTCTTACACACCGCTGAGCTTTTATGTATTAATTGAAAAACTGCGTGGCCTAATATCTTTCCCAGTCCGAGCCTGGATCAGCAACGTAGCTGGCACATCTGGAACATTTCAGAAATGTGCCACGGAACCCCCAGTGGACCCTCTCTGATTGACCAGAGTTGCTGTGATCGGCTGCAAAGACAGAGCAGGCTGCAACACAATGCTTATGTGCAGCTTCCACATGCAGTTGAAGAAAGGGGTAAAACAGAGATCCATCCTGCCTAAAGCTATTGCAGCCTACAGCACATAACTTAGCTTGTATAATAGCCCTTTTAGGAACAACAACATTTTTTTGTTGCTCCAGCCATAGTGAAGAGAGAAGAGGCAGTTTTGGAGTTCTGACTATCCCTGCTACCCTTACAGAAAAGCGTTAAATAGCCGAGCTCCATCTTTTATCAGAGATCTGATTGTTCCTTATGTTCCTAACAGGGAACTTCACTCTGAATCTGCAGGTTTACTAGTGGTTCCTAGAATTTATAAAATTAGAATGGGAGGCAGATCTTTAGATATCAGGCTCCTCTAATTTGGAACCAACCCTGTATACTTTTAAGGGTAGGCTTAGAACGTTCCTTTTTTTATAAAGCTTATAGTTAAAGAGGTTCAAGTTATCCAGTGCCATCCCTATAGTTTTGCTGATATAGGATTATACTGCTGGAAGACATAGGGACCCCTTTTTATCATTCTGCTTCATTCTATCTCTATTCTCCCCACTCTGCTGAATCTGTTAGTTCAATCTCTAACATTATGATCTCTCAGTTTTTTCCTCATAGTAGCTTCATCTGGTCTGCTCCTGTTTGGCTGTGACTCCATCCTGGAGAGAAATATCAGCTGTGATGCTACCATCAACACCTTTGTTTCTAGATATTGGAGCTTGGCCTATTTTTCAGTGTAGTCCTGTTTCACTGACTGTGACTGGCTGGATGTGCTCTCTTCATCCTCTGACATGGGAGCTGGCTCGGAGCTCGTCTGCCTGGCTGTGTGTTTCCTGGACGGGGCCGCCTGTTACAGCTGCTTTTTGTATCTCTGCTTCTGTCTCCTTGAACCCCAGTCGAAAGTGCGCA